TGTGTGTGTGTGTGTGTGTGTGTGTGTGTGTTTAGTAAAACCAACTACAAACTGCATATTGGGTATTTTAAGATAGTGATACAGTGTATTATCCATATTGACATTTTGATATCCTAAGGAAAGATACTTTCAAGCTTGAACCATTCTATCATACAGCATTATAAAGAAATTTTACTGTGATTCTGTTTAGGTGACCTTCAGTATGTTGTTTACCATGAAAATCTTTTAATGGCAAAAGTAGATTTTAAAATATTACAAGAGAGTGCTTTGTGAATTATAAAACTAAACATTGTTATTTCACTGATATTTAGAGCTGAAAAATAAATAGTAAACCAAGATGGATTTTATACCTGCTGCCTTGATGAATCTCACATACCTGTATAGTTTGTTAGAGTATAGCAATCATATTTGGTTTTTTTCTTGTCTAAACAACATTAGTACCAACTTTTATTCTTAATGAACTAAGAGAAAGTAGCTGTGTATCTATGCTAACTCTTGTGTATATCGATCATATTTGATAATTGGAGTCTCAAGCAGTGAGATTGTCCTCTGTTAGTGATTAAATGTTGAACCCTTAACCTTTCATAATGAGTTCAAATCTGAAAGGAAAAATTAAACTCTGTCTCCACAAAAGTCATCATGAGTCTCGTATATTTTACTCCTTGTTCTTAAATAGAATGTAAACTTTGATGCATGGTTCACGGACTCAGTAGAGTCTAAGTAATGAGGAAATGGCAGCTTGGTTTGGTTAAGTTACTAATACTTATTATTTAAAAATATGAATATATATTGCTTGATTAGTAGTCTTTTCTTATAATGTACCTTGTATTGCAGGTAAGTATTAGCCTCTATACCTGTGTCATGGTCCACACATTTACTCCTGGCTACTCAGGAGGCTGAGCCAGGGGAGTCACACATTAGAGTAGAGGTCAGCCTGACTTTCTAGGAGCTTGTCTCAAAATAAGTGAACAAAGGACAGGAAATGTAATTCAGTGTAAAGACCCTGGGTGCTCTCCTCAGTATCACATAGATATAAGTGGACCAGTGGTTGGATGGATGGATGGATGGATGGATGATAGAAAAATCAGGGTAGAAGTGAGTTTCAGTGATAGTCTCTTGACTGTTGTGCTTGAGGCCCTGGGTTCCATCCTTAGTACTAAGGACAAAAAATTTATCAGTGGCCAAGAGTTTTATGAGAAGAAACAAACTTATTTTTTGGAAACTTAAAAAATAGCATTTAGAAAGGCTTGGCATTAGCTAGTTATGATCGTGCATGCATGTAATCCTGGCATGTGGGATGAGACAAAAGAATCATGGATTTCTAGGCCAACCTTCACTGCAAAGTGAATTTAAGGTCAGCCTAACCTGTATAGCAAAACTCTGTTTGAAAAGGATGAAAAGACAGTAAGACAGGAAGGAAGGAAAGTAGATTTGGCATTTAAATTTTGTAAATGATGTGACTAGATATTTTATCTTGATAGTGTTTTAATTTTTTACAACTTTATATATTGCAACATAGCTTTGTTAAATATTTTTAGTCATCTCCATTTAGTTTAAAATGGACAGTTTTTAAAAAATTGTTTCAAAAATCTTTTATTTACTTATTTATTTATTTGGTACAGGGTCTCGCTATACATCTCAGACTTATAGTGATCTTCCTATGCTAGCCTCCCCAGTGCTGGGATTATAGGCATGTGCCACCATGCCTGATTTTGGTGGCCGGCACCGAGTACTGGGGATTGAACTTGGGTTTTTGCACTGTCAGGCAGGACCTTAGACTACCGAACTATCTTCCCAGCCCCTAAAATGGACAGGTGTTTTCTTTCTTTTTCTTTCTTTTTTTTTTAATTTTAAGTCATTTCCTGCTTAGTTACCAACATACAGTATTTCAATTATAGGCTTCTACTTTCTAGGTTTGTATGTAGTTTCACTTGTGTTTTATATCATTAAATGGAATTTAAATGAACATTTAGCTTTTAGTAAATTGCTTTAAAAATATTTTTTTGCCCTCTTGCGATTTAAATATTGCTGTGTTTACCTCAGAATTTTACTTATGATTATTGTACATTTAGCACAGTTGAGATTTAAAATTGCCATCAAAATATGAATTACAATTTTGGCAAGCATTGTACCAACTGAACTGTGTCCTTAATCTAGAAAATTGCAATTTTAGAAAGTTATTAAGGGACTGGTAAAACACTTGCCTACCTTGTTCATGGCCATGAGTTCTATCCCCAGCACTGTATGCACAAATAAATAAAAGTTACATGGTAGTTTTACCTGAGGTTTTGTTGAAGTTACATGGAAATGCTGTTAGTAAATTAATTGTTCTTAGGAAGTAGTTTCAGTAATTAACTTTCAAAAGTTTTTAACAGTTGTATGACCTGTGCATTGTTTCAGAAATTGGCACATGAGCATTCAGGTTTTAGGTAGAATCATTGCTCAGCTAAAGGAAAGTAGTTTTTTGTCAGAATTCAATAACTTGTTGATGCTAAGTGAAGACTTTTATGACATATCTGTAATCTCTGGGTAGAAGGATACTTTAGTGTAACTGAAAGAATGAATTTTAATATTTGGACAGTGAAAAATATGTGTGATTTTATCAGTTTTAATATTTTTGTAACCTAGGAGTGAGAATAATTGACACTATTTGTTATTTTGGATTTTTCTTTGAAGTCTTGTTGTCTTTGGTGAAATAGAAACATTAAGAAACAATCTGTGGGGGCCGGGGAGATGGCCTAGTAGAATAAGTGCTTCCCTGGCAAGCGCAAGGGCCTGAGTTCAATCCCCGGTTCTGCAAAAAAAAAAAAAAAGAAACAATCTGTGATAGAGTTTGTATAATCTATCTGATGGATCATCTTACCATATAAACCAGTATATCAAATATTTATAGTGTATTAATTTTTAGAGACTAGAATTATTTTCAATTGAGTAAATGATGAAAATTTTCAAAATTTTTAAGTCAAAAGTGATGTTCAGATTCAGTTTTCTTTTTTATTTTAAATGGGAAATGTAAAATTATAATATCGATAGGTTGACTGTGACAACTATGTTTATTTACAGAGAGAACAGGAAATGAGAATGGGTGATATGGGTCCCCGTGGAGCAATAAACATGGGAGGTAGGGATTTGAAGCAAAAACTTCTGTAACTTACTTGTAATTCTTTGGGATAGTGTAAATGCTGTTTGTGGTATTTACATATCAATAAGAGACTTAAAATATAGAGCTAACACTTGTGAAGGTGAAATCTTTTCTATTAAAATCATAATTTAGTGTATTAAAAATATGACAAGGACAAAAATTTGAAAGGTGTTAAATTTTTATAGCTTCGATGTAAGAAACCTATAAATTTCTGATACAGAAGTTAGTTCAGTCATTACATGTAAAACAATTCTGCCATATTTTTATAATCAGATTTTGTGGCTTCAAATGATGTTTTTAACTCTGGAAAAGGATAGTTTGTGGCTTTTAAACTTCTTGAGAACATTTTACAAATTTCTGTTTTAAAGTAGTGTTTTGAAAAAAAAAAAGTAGTGTTTTGTTCATGTTACTCAGTAAATGTGTATGGAAATGGACTGCCTAGAGAAGTATATTACTTCAGGAAGTAAAATGTGTAATGGTAATGCGTAGCTTTAGAGTTCATGCAAAATTGCCTACGTTAATAACGTTCATGTAAAATGGCTTTTATATACATATTACGGGCAAGTAGAATCAATAAGTAAATATATGCAGTATCATAATCATGTGTCTTCAATTTGAAATGCCATAAATTTAAAAATTAGATAATGGGTTGAACTTTCACATTATATGATCCTGCAACAGCTGTCACAAAGTTTAAAATCTTTATATAACCCAAATGTACATAATACTTTGAAAACATTGTTAGGGCATCCAGTGTACACCATAAGCACACCCATCTAGTGAATTCTTCAATTACATATTATATGAAATAAAATTTAAAAGAGTGAACATTTTCTACATATTTTTCTTAATGCTCTGAGTTAGTTTGATAATTCTTAATTACATAGTCTAGAATTTTATATATATTTATATATATATTTATATATATATATATTTCCTTCATTTATTTCCTTATCTATCAACAAATGGTTACTAAATGTTTTTTTATGTAAAGGAAGCCTGAAACATTTTCTTTTCCTATAAGAACTTAATCATTCACATGGATATATGAAATAATTAATGAAGCAAGACTATAAATTCTAAAATATGAAGCAAGGTTTAATATATAATGATGTAGCAGTGGTTCTGTATTTATCTTTTTAGAATAAGTTTTTTCCCATTATATAAAATAATCCATGTAATTTTTAAGGAATGTGAGAATGAGATTATTGTGAAGTGTGAGTAGTGTGAAAGGATGATTACTGTCATTAACATCAGAACCAAACTTTAAAATAGGATAATGCTTAAAACTATTTCTCATGGCCCAGAGAGATTGTGAAAACATGGTCTGGACTTGATTAGCAGCTTTTTAAGAATACACCTCTAAATGCTTTATTTATTTTTTGTTTTAAAGAGAAAACAAAAGGACCAGCAGTGTAGCTCAGCTGACTAAGCACTTGCTTAAGGAAGTGCAGGGGCCAGAGTTCAATCCCTGGCACCACATGCCATGCTGGCCCCCCCCCAGGGCACACTGAACCAGTGATGGAGTCTGGGTGTGGTGGCGCACGCCTGTTATCCCAGCACAGGGGAGGCAGAAAACAGGAGGATCACTACGAGTCCAAGCTGTGTAGTGAGACCCTGCACAAAAATAAAAAAATAAAAAAATAAAGAGAAAATAAAACAATTTCAAAAGATAACAGAAGGGTAACAATGGTTAATACATTGAATATTGTTATCTTTAAATTAGTTACTCAAGAGTACAAGGTATCAGCATTTAATTCTCCAAACAATATTAGCACTAACCTTTCTTTTCAACGAAATAAGAGACATTAGTAATCTATCTTTAACTACTTTATATATCTCTATCTATTTTGCTTTTCCCTTTCTTTGCTCCTTTCCCCCACCCTAGTTTCTCTTTTTAAAGATTTCTTCCCATTTTAGAATATCAGTTGTACATTTAAACGCTTTAGGAATTCAAGAGACTTTAAGCATTTTGTTACATTTTCATTAATCTGTGTTAAGTTATATGGTTGGACCCATGCTGGTAGCTCAATGCCAAAGCATGTGTTTAGCACTTGGGATTTGATTCCCAGCAGAAAAGTAAAGAATAACAAATTCTGTTGATGGAATACGGCCGTAGATTTTCTGATTTACTACTAGTTTGTATACTATATAAAACATAGTTTGTAAAGCCAAATAACCCCATTTCTTAGATCTTTAAATTTAGTTTATAATTCTGTGGTTGAAAATATCATTTAAAAATGGCTGTTGGTTACGACTATTACAAGGGGCTGGGGAGGTGGTTCAGTAGAATAAGCACTTGCCTGGCAAGCCCAAGGGCCTGAGTTCAATCCCTGGTTCCGCCCCCCCCCCCAAAAAAAAGTATTACTGATCCTGGGCCCAAGGGAGATAGCGCAGCAGCCTAAGTGCCTGCCTGGCACATGCAAGGTCCCAAGTTTGATCCATGGTTAAAAAAAAAAAAACCGCGGGAGCAGGGGAGAATATTACTGATCTTTTAAAAATGCACTTAGGGGGGGCCTGGCTCTAGCTCAGTCCTTTAAGTGGCTGCTCCACAAAGCTGTCGGCCTCATGTTGCTGGAGTTCGAACCTCACAACTCTCCTCCTGGCCAAAAGTGCCCTGAAGGCATTCGAGGAACAAAAAAAAAAAAAAAAATGCACTTAGTTACATAGTTATATTCCAGATTCACAAGTTAAATGTAGCAAGTCTATTAAGGAATAAGAAGAAAAAAATACTATTAATCTGTTCTTTTTAGAGAAAGTATAGAAAAGATGCCTGTTAGATCCTGTCTTCAACATTCCTTCTTTTCTAGATTATGGAAACCTGTTAAGATGAATGACAGTGTATGGGGCTGGTGAGATGGCTCAGTGGTCTAAAGCACCTACTTAGAGCAAGCTAAGCTAAGCAAAACACAGGGACCTCGGTTCAATCCCCAGCACCACATGCCAGCCAGCCCCGCCCCCTGGTGGGCTGAACTGGCCACACACACACTAAATAAATAAATATTTTAAAAAAAAGATGACAGTGTAAGTGTCCCAGGGAGTGAAAACATTCTTGGATGAAGCATAGATTTATCATTGAGAACATTTTGGGATTAAGGAAGAATTCCTTTGACAAGTTGTTTGTTTCTAGGGTTGGCTTTAAAGCGCAATAGTTTGATGCTGATTGTTATGGAATGAGACTTTCAGCTGTTCCTTTAGAGAGAACTCAGAAAGTTCAGGGTCATTAGCTATTCTGTAGTGGATTTGAAAGAAAACTAAAGCTCCGTTTATAATGTATATTTACGAAATTTTAATTCTGCAAGTTAGAAAAACTGATCTGTATAATGAAATGCTAGGAAAAATTATTAAGCTGGAAAATCAGTCTTTGTCCCAAATTTTTAGAAACAAGTATTAGCACTTAAAATTTTTTTAATACCTGAAAATACGTCTTTGAAACCATCCTATTTATAATAAATATTCCAACTTTCAATTTATGACAATTGAAAGATAGGTAAATATCTTTTTTGGTGAAAAAATTTGATAGATATCTTGACTATCCTCATTTCTAGAATTTTGTATATCAGAACATCCAGTAGGTATTTTATCTATATTTTTGTGGTTTTGATTTTAAAAATATTTCATCATGAGTCATTTTTATTGGGGGGGGGAGTTTGGATTGTGTATTTTAATAGAACATTTAAAAAGTAGTACTTTGTAATTTGGGGCTTTATTTGGTAACCATATAAAAAGGCAACAGTTGGCCGGGGAGATGGCTCGGTAGAATAAGTGCTTGGCTTGCAAACGCAAGGGCCTGAGTTCAGTCTCTGGTTCTAAAAAAAAAAAAAAAAAAAAAGCAAGAGTTTACTGCAGTAATCTGTATAGGAACTGCTTTTTGCTTTTACAGTTTAGTTTACTAGATAATATTTTTTAGTTAAGACTAAGAAAACTTTTTTGAAGTACTAATCATCTGTTGTTCATTGAAACTGTTAGTATAGTCAAAATTGTTGGTTAATGAAATTTTGCCCATGTGGTTGTGCATACTTCTAATCCCAGCACTTGAAAGACTGAGGCAGGAAAATCACCTTAAGTTGTAAACCAGCCTGAATTTTACAGGGAAACTTTGTCTCAAACGAACAACAAACGAAAAAACCCAGAAGCTAAACAAGCAACAACTAAGCCAAAACAAAATTACTATAAGTAAGCTATAGTGAATTACTTTGATCTTTAAAATTTATGAGTTACTACTTTCTCAGATGTGGTAAAATAGTTAATAGTTGCCTCATTTCTTTTTATGTATCTGTAGTTTGGGGATTAAAGTTTTAGCATGTAGGCAATGCTTTATTGCAAAATGGATAATTGTCTCATTTTCAAGGAAGGAGAATGATTTTAATAATAGTTTTTTTTGGTGTAAGATTGTAAAGTTTTATAAAGTTTTTAATGTTTACTGAAATTACGATAGGACAGCTCTAAGTATAGATTGTTTTACATAGATGCGTTTAGCCCAGCACCTGCTGGTAACCAAGGTCCTCCTCCAATGATGGGTATGAATATGAACAACAGAGGAACTATACCTGGCCCACCAATGGGTCCTGGTCCTGCCATGGGACCAGAAGGAGCTGCAAATATGGGAACTCCAATGATGCCAGATAATGGAGCAGTGGTAATGTATCATAAACATTATTTTGATTATATTCAGTAATGTACACTTGTGCCCCAAAGATACCTTCACATTTAACATAATTTGACATTTGTTTTGGCAATAGTTAAGTATCTAATGGAAGAAAATAAATTGTGAATTTATGTTTAGGTTTAGGAGAGAAGACAATATCTTTAAGTAAAGAATAAGGACTGCCATGCATGGCATACTGTGTCTCGGTGCATAGAACATACATAAGCTTTTACAGATTTTTTTTCAGTGCTGTTAAACTGTAGCCACTTGGGGCCAGTGGGATAGCTCAGCGGTCTAAAGTATCTGTTCAGGCAAGCTTAGGCAGGTACAGGGGACTGCAGTTCCATCCCTGGCACCACATGCTGAGCCAGCCCCACTCTCATGGTTTGCTGAGCTGACCCCCCAATAAATAAAAAGTAAACAAATAAATTGTAGCCACCCTTCACTGTATTGGTTAAATATTTGATGGTTGTGGTCTTTCTCTATATGGACTCCTTTAGTGGAAATAGTTTTCTGTAATCATTTTTAATTGAGTGATCACTTGTCATTATTTCAAAGTGTGTATTTTTTTTATAAATTTTTTTAGTATATTGTAAATGTACATTTCTGTCATAAAATTACTTTTGGTATTTGTTACTACTAAATTTAGGTAATTTTTGCTGTGCTCTGAGGGTGTGAAGATATCTTTGGGTAAAATATGAAAGCAAGGTTTTTCAGTATTATATATTCAATATCAGTAAAATTGGTATCTTTTAACCTTAAATGAGGTTTTATAATGGCAAAACATTTTGTGGTGTAGTGTTTTTTCATGTTTGTTCTAAATGAGATTTAGAAAGAAAACTTTGTTGGCTGTATATTTTGAAATGGCAGTTTTGGTTTGGGAACTACCATATCAAATTTAAGGCACCATTGCTGCTAATGAAGAAAAACACGGCCGGTTAAATTCAGACTGTTGTCAGCTGTAAATCTGTGTTGCTGTAGAACATAATAAATGTGGACTGGAGATAGCTCAGTTGTAGATTTCCTTTTTAGCATGTGCAAGATCACCCCTCCCCCCCAAAAAAGGACATTGTGCATCTTATCTTAGAACTGAGAAATGCACTGTTTGTGATAGTCTTTTTAAAATTTGGAAAATTTGATATGCTAACAGTTGCAATTTGAAAAATGATAGTTCAGCGAAATGAGGCAGTATCAGCATTTGCTATCAATAGCACCTATTTTTTAGAGTAAAATGTCAGAAAGCTCAATCAAAATTACTTGGTTTGAGTTTTCTTTATACTATAACTTTTTAGAATAATATTAATAATTTTTAGACGTCTTTCCCTGAAATTGTAAACTTTATATCACCCTTGTATCTTTTGTGCTTATATTTTATTACTGCATTTCAAGAATTCTATTATACCCTTGAGATTAATATATGGGTCATTATTGTAAAAGTTTTCAAAGTATCAGGTCTTGATGTTTAATTCTATTTGTAGTACATATTAGTCAGCTTTAATCATCTTCCCAAGACTAGTTTTTCAGTGAAAACATCTTAACAAGTTTTCATTTGGAAATCATCTTTCTTATGTTTAGGTTCTTGCTTCCAGTATTGCTTTTAGAATGCTGGGTTTATAAAACAGATTGTGACGCTGCTCCCTAGTTTTAGCTCTGATTATTAGTAAAGTATTTATCTTTTACAGTACAGATTCGTGTAATAGAAACTTTAGAAAAGAGATCAGAGCAGTAATATAATACTTATGAGGCTTAAGGTGGCATTTGCTTGTATCATGCATTCAGTACTTTTTTTTTTTTCATGAAATTTGGGCATAAAATTAGCAATTTGTAAATCTTCAGATGCTGCTTTTTTATTTTTAAACATAGTAACTAATTAAATTGCTCCTTTCTTCCTTCTATGTGTGATCCTGATTCTGCCGGACTTTCTGCTGAACTTCATGACACCACCACTTGGGATTTTGCCAATTTTTCTTGTCACTTATATTTGGCGTGTTCCAAATGGACTTCATGTTTGTTATGTGGTATTCTAGCACAATGATAGATTTTCTCAAGGACCACCTTCCCAGATGGGATCTCCTATGGGGAGTAGAGCAGGTTCTGAGACCCCTCAAGCACCAATCACTGGTGTGGGTCCTGTGAGTGGTGCTCCTGGTGGCTTTGGTAGAGGCAGTCAAGGGGGCAACTTTGAAGGTCCTAATAAGCGTCGTAGATACTAAACCCATTTGTTCCTGGCTCTTTAGAAACAAAATTCAGTGATATGCCTTTACACTTTTATCTGTTACCTGGAAGAAATGGTTTTATTGTTAATGTGTGTAGACTGAAAACTTTTTCTTTTTGTAAAACGAGGTTTTTGTATTTTTCTTTATTCATAAGCTCTGTAGATTAGAATGGTAATGATGACATGCATCATTGTGAATGTTAAAATGTGTTTGTGACTTTAGCTAACTACAGCTATGCCATAGTACTGTGAAATTTATGTAGTTTCTTTATTTCAATAAAGAAATCATTTTGAATAATTTAAGATGTTACTATTGGTATTCTCTTATGGTTTTGCTAAACTTTGCTGTAACAATAATTCTTTGGTTGCTTTAACTAATCCCAGCCATTTAAAAATCAAGAAATGATTTTTGCTTTTTTTGTGCAAGTAGCCCTGAAGATAGAAACTTAGTGAAAGCTGATGTCAATATGGATTACTACATTTGGGGGAGGGAGTGCATGGGAGTTTTAATTTGTATAACCTATTGATGTTTTGTGAAATTGGAGTTGCTGCCTATATTTCATAAAAATTCTGAATATTCAGATATTCTGAAAAAGATCAATAAGGGTATCTTTGTCCTGTGTTGCTTTTTCCAAATAAATCTTTTGAATCTTGAAAAAAACTGTTTGAAGGCAAATCTCTTTTGCTTAGAAAATACCTACTTTTGAATTTTATTTTCCATCATTTATTTGTTGTCAATATCTGTCTTGTATTATTATACACCTAGTGTTGAGTTTTTTTTTTTTTTTTTTTTTTTTTAAATTTAATCTTTTTTTTTTTTTTTTTTTTTTTTTTTTAAAGACAATACTCTTGGGTTGGGAGTTAAGGGAAGATTTGCTGGGTGGTTCATGGGTACTTAGGCACTTCTTGAGAATGCTGGTTTCTAATAGTATTATATGACAGCTTGACTCTGCAGTGTGAAGTATTTCTCGATACTTGTAAAATTTTCCAGTAAAATCTATCTGATGGTTAGGATGTTTATAGTTGAATTGTTTATTTTTTAAAAGGGAGGGAATCAACTTTACAATGGTAGGACATTTATATGTGATTAGATTCCTGTTCTGTCCAATACCTATTTTGAATTTCAGTCCTGGGGAGAAACTGATTTCATCATGTTATAATTTTTACCCTAAAAGTCATAGATACATTTAGAAATTTGTATTTTGTTTGCATTTGTTTAAAATTACATTAAAAATTACAAAATCTAAAGTTTTACCTAGATGTCAAGGCTGCTTCACCAGCCACTGATCATAGCCTTTACTTTTCACACATTTGCCATTTTTCCTTTTCTAATAAATGTGGTGTTTTAAGTAAATCATATGTACATAGTGCCTTTAATATTTCCATGGTGTTTGTTTTAGTGGAAAGCATACTTTTCAAAGATATAGCTTTGGTTAGTTAAAAATCAAAAAGCAGTTTAACAAGTATAGTTAAGCATTCTTTCTGCCATGTTATTTTTCACGTGTATTGTTTCATGCTGTGCTTTAATTTTTTTAGACACTACAGTGCATGTGGATTTATATTTTAAAGTTTATTATATTCACAACCTTTGGTTTCGATAATGTTTGAAATCATTTGGAGATTGTAAGATGGTAGTTAGGGACTTTGCTCTTTGCATTTTTCATAAGTATAAGCTGGTGGGGACTTGGATTTGTTTTATGGGTTAATTGGGGTGTGAAGAGTTTCAAAATTAATTGAAATTTCTAAATGATATTTATTGCATATAAGTATACCTTTTCCAACTGTTTTATTCATCTAATACTCTTGATAATTTTTAGCACTGGATTGCATTCAAGGCTGAATTCAGATTGGGGGAGAAATATGATCCTTTGATGTTAATAGCAAGCTTCTTTGCGCCAAGGCTGTGAAATTCTCTGATTCATTCAAGGACATTTGAAAGCCAGTGCACAGAGATGTATTAATCTCCTGAACATCCTAGTGTCCGGGCTCAACTCTGGCTCCAAGAACAGAGTTCTACACAGCTTTTCCCCTGCATCAAGAAAATTCTTGTTCCAGTACTTACCAAGTTTATCCTGGAAACAGTCAGCTTCTGAGTGAGAGTCAAGTGGACCATCTATGAACTTCTAGTTATTCAGTTGTTAAGGGTTTTGTGTAAACATCTTGTGAATTAGTATACCAATGAACATTTTGTCATTTGCTTAAAAATGATAGATAAAAAATGAAGAGAAAATTTGGTAGTTAGGTTTTTGAGTGTGAAGTTCTCATATATGCTAACATAAGTTTTCAAAAAAAGGTAATATGAAACAATTTTAATATCAGTCTTCTATTTCCTTTTTATGTCATTTAAAATCCTAAGTACTAAGTTTAAAAATCTGCAGGATTTAGGTGTATCATACTTTTGTAGTTAATATGAATAAAAACTACATCCATTTTCTTAATTATTTCATTCTAGCACTGCAGTTTGTTGGAATTTCTCCTTTTTACTTGAAAAGCATATGCATTTATTTTCTTTGACAGATCTAATACCCTAGCTGGTCATTTTATTAAAATTGAAATTAACAAGGACAGTGACTGAAACTATGGCTTTTGTTTCTCAAACAGTAAATTATACCTTCACAGTCTGTTCAGAAATATGCTTGTTGAATATTTCAGTAACTTAGTATTTGAATGGAATATATGTTATAGTTGCTTAATGTCAGTATGAGTGACTAATAATCATTAATTAATAGATCATGAATTAAATTGCTGATTAAAGCATCGATTTTGAATGGGAAGATTTAAATGGTATTAAAATGACATAAGATATGTGATATGAGAGAAGCTTTAGAAGGTAGAAAGTCAGTGTCAAATGATAGTTAAAAATAAAAGGGTCATGTCATTTTTGACAAACAGGGAGTTTACTCAGGAGTAGGATGTTTTAATAAAAAAAAATTGTGTGTTGAAGAGCTTTGTTACAATGCCTGATATGACAAAAAGTATTTCTGAACTTTCAAAGGCTAACACTGATTCCAAAGATGAGAGTTCTTTTAAGAATAATATAATGAATACTTGTATCTTAGAATAACAGGTGTTAAGGGTTGGGGATATAGCTCAGTGGCATATGCACCTGCCTGGCAATTGCAAGGTCTCAAATTTGATCCCCAGCACCAAAGGAAAAGAAAAAAGAGTAACAGGTGTTAATGTTTTCCAGTATTCATTTATGGGTGTGATCTTTTTAAGGAGTGGAAAACTTACTTCATGGAAGATTTCAGATTACTTTGCTTGTAAATATTGCAACACTTCACTCATAAAAAGAACATGAGTCCTACTAATCTGTTTTGAAACTGTCTCATTGCTGTTTGTTTCTCAATAAAATTAATTTAAAAAAATAACATTGAGACCAGTTTTGTACCAAAGAATATTCCCATATACTAAATTTAAAACAGCACGTTTTAAGTTATATAAGCAAGTATCGGTTTATTTTGTGATGGGCTAATCATATGATTAAATAAATTAGCAGTAATCTTACACTTTACAAAAGCATCCTTTGATTTCTGGAAGCTTATATTACTTAAGTTTTTAAAAATAGGGCTTCTTTCCTTATGTTAACTTTACCTATTTTCCCTAGCTATGTAGAACAAAGTAGTATGTAGTTTCTTACATGAGTTTTTCAAGTAATTTATAACGTTTACTCTGAGGAAGTAAGGAAGAATTGGAAAAATTTCTACATTTACTCTTTCAAAATCTGGATTTACATATTAGGTATTCCATTCTCTTTTAAAAACTATCAACAGTACTGTCTTAGCCAGACATGGTTACACACACTTGTGATCCCAGCACTCAGGACAAGGAGGCAGGAGGATCAATGGGAGTTTGAGGCCAGCCTGGACTACATTTTGAGGCCCTCTTTCCAAAAACAAAAGCAGAAAGAACACCATCTTCTGTGTTATAAAAACATTTTCATTTTTTCCCCCATTTACTGGAAACCAACATTAATGATTAAAACTTTTGAAACACCAGTTAGAGGAGGTTCTATAGTGCTTTTATTGTAAGATTTTGCTTTTTCTGTAAAAACATGTTTACATTATGAATATATCTAGATTTCTTTGTAGAAAATCAATATTTTTATTTATATGGTGAAAGCAGCAGTGTGGTAGTTCCTCTCTTTCATATTTTGTTTTCCTTTTAACACCAGAAGCCTGTTCCAGATTGATAGTGCATTTGTAAACATAGTCACAGTAGTCTATATATATATATATATATATATATATATATATATATATATATATATATAATATATTATTATATATAATTTCTGCAAGTATATTGTTTTATGGCTTGAATACCCATTATTGCTACTATCTCCATTCTCTGCAGCAGATAATGTATTTTGTTGAATATAAATGAAATCTAAGAATTATCATTTGGTTCAAAGACATGAAATTTAGAGGAGATAGTATGCTGCATATTAATGTATATAAAATTACTGCTACAGAATAGTACCATAATCTCAGGTTTCATAGGGATTACTTCAGACCTAAAGTTAAGATACAGTTAGTAGAATTTGGAAAAATGAAATGGAACTGCACTGAGTTTGAAAGCATGGCTGTTTACCTTTCAGTATTTTAAAATACATTGTCAGTTGTTTTTAGTTATTCGTTATGTCAGTGAGTCTTGCCTTGTATCAGTAGTAATGTGAGTGAATCACATCTCTGTATAGATATATGTGGGTTGTTTTGTTTTCTTTGCAGTACTGGGAATTGAACAAAGGATTCCATACATCCTGGACAAGTGCTTCAGTGCTGAGCTCCATCTCCACCCCACCCCTCTGTTACCTGATTTTTTATTTTATTTTGTTTTAAATTTCTAGAAAGAGTTTAAGTTGCCCAGGCTGTCCAAGATGGCCTAGAATTTGGTCCATTCTTCCTTGCTGTTATTTTTTCAATAGTGGTTTATTGGTAGTGTTGAAAATACTTTGAAGTTGATATATCTAGAAGTTTTGTAGCTCTTTACCTTAATATGTTCACATTTTATTAATTTGTATGAATTGTACATCTTATGTAAGGTATGTGACCTAGTGTCCGAAATTTAATTGGCTATGTTTTTTCATTATAGTTTTTCTCTCACTGGATCACTGAGCTACACTCTGACTTGATCTGTTATTTAAAAAAAAAGAAAGAATATATATATGTACATATATATGAGTACATACCTGTAACTGCATCACCCAGTAGGCTGAAGCAGTAGTATTGCTGCAACTTTGAAGCCAGCCTACTACACTTCATGACACTTGTGTTCAAGAAAGGGGGGGGGGATTACATGTTTGCCAACCAATCATGCTTTGTGAGATTTTATTTACATTTTTGAGTTTTACAACAGTTGTATAATCTTACTCTTAAGCATAGTAACTTTCCTATTGGAGAAGTATGAGTTATGTACGTTTTTCTTTATGTGGTTACTTACACAGTTTTGCAAGTCATTTATATTATCTCATGGTGGAAAAACAAACATTTTAAGTATATTTTGTCAAAATAGTTTTCCCAAATATTTGCAGAATTTTTTATTGTATTACATTTGATAATGTGAATCAGTATCAAATTTCAGACCTTTCTAAATTTAAATCTGTTCCATAGCATTTTATGTAATAAAATACATAATCTTTAGTAATTTTGGGGAGCTATTATATAAATAATAGTAATTAGCCTGTTTTTGTTTTGGTTCTGTGTAAGACAACTCCTGGCTGGCCTTGATTTCACTGTGTATCACCCAGACTGGCCTCAAACTTGGTTGATCCTCCTACTT